CCCCCCCCCCCCCGAGCATGAATCCTCTAGAACAGCAGTTTTTAATGGGGGGGGGGCGTATGGCCTCCCAGGGTCCCAGAGGCCTTCACCACCAGCTGTCCTGACTGGGGTTTCTGGGAGTTGCAGTTCAAAAGCATCCAAGTAACAAAGGTTAAGAACCACTGCTCTAGAACAGCAGTTTTTAATGGGGCCTCCCAGAGGGCCCTGGCACATTTGAAGGGGGGCACAGATTGGAAAGCAGTTCTTCACATACCACCTTATAAAGTTTGTTATGCAACTTATACAATCCTGATCCAGACTATATTGCTTTTTATATTGTGTTTATGGCCGTGGCCAAAAAAAAAAAAGGTTGAGAATGGTTGATGCAGAGTAATGCTGAGGCATATTTGTCATCTGAAAAGTTGGTTGCATTTCAAAGTAGCAAAGACATATTTCAGACAGCGGATGTTACCTGCACAGATGGGAGGCTATTGCAATTTGGAGCATATCCCTATTGTTGCCTCTTTTGTTCCTTGCTCAGTCCTCTGGCTGTTACACCATCCCACCAACATTCAAAAATGAGAGCAGTAGTAGCACCTCCCAAACTCAAGTTCTGCCACCACCCATAGTCAGCTTCATCGGAGGAAGGGTTCTTCATAGAGATGCAAGGAAGTAGCACTTCTGTTCTCTGAAGTCACAAAGTCCGGAAACTGAAATCTGGAGTCAAAGCATCCCCTATTCCACGCCAACATGCAGTCAGATCAAGGGCCAATTCACACATACGCATCATTGGGTGAATCAGCTACTGTGATTTAGTGACCGCAAGCAGACATTTGATCAGAGCACCTGATTATCAGTCAGTTGATTTTTTGCAGGCGAGCAATAAATACCTAGAGAACTTGTCCAAGAACAGTCATGATCATTGCTTTATGTTTGGGTCCTACTTGGTTAACTGATGGGGAAAAAAAGTTCTGTGATTTTCCCTTGCATGGTGTCTGTTTGTGAATGGTAGTGCACGTAGGGAAGAATTCTCCTAGACCATAATGACTACTAATACGGACGCCATCAGCATTCAAGCTGGTCTTTACTGTGTGAAGCTTGGCATCCTTTTTCCTGCTTGCAGTGCAGGCACAACATTGCAAGGCAGTGTCAGACCATTTCCTAGCACTTTGAATATGGACAGAGAAGCAGCATGCCACATTTCATAAACCAGAAGGGTAACTTTTGAAGGATTGAATTTCCTGGCTTTTTAAAACAGATGCTTAAGAACCTACAATACACCTAGATTTACAATAGATGAAGTTATCAGGAGGTGTAGGCTGCAGTACCATATACACCTGGAAATAATTTGGGTGGATCTCAAGAGTTCTGCTTAAAATGTAGATCCTTTAAGCCTGCCCATCCCTGCTCTAGGACACTGCTGAATATATTAAATGTATTCTCTATACAAATGGAATAATGCCAAGCAGGAATTGTTGTTTCCTGAATCATTGCATGTCATATAAAACAAAATTCTTTTCTTTAATCACAATATTAAGTAGTGTTCTTAATGTTAAGGTGTGATCTGTTGACTATGCCTCTCTTAAAATAAAGTTGGCAATAATTTTGGAAAAGGTGGGAACATCATCGTGGCCCACATTCTACTGTAGCTTTTGGTAAGCACCTTTTGTAGTTTTTTAAACCGTGCAAATTATTTGATCAGACAGGACCAGTGAGACAGAAGTATAGACCATATTAACTTTTTCATGCATTTTTATGTAAGAGAAATGCCTCGTAACAAATTCCAACATGTTTGTTTTTTCCTTTTTCCCTCACAGCAGGAACAGCTCTGGGCCTTGGCGTTGTGAATATCCTGCACACTATTAACCCTTCCCTTGTGATACTTTCCGGTGTCCTGGCAAGTCACTATGTCAGCATTGTCAAAGATGTGATCCGTCAGCGGGCTTTGTTCTCTGCACAGATGGTGGATGTGGTTGTCTCAGACCTGACAGATCCTGCCTTGCTTGGAGCTGCTAGCATGGTTTTAGATTATACAACACGCAGGATATACTAAATATACGGCAAAGTAGAAATGGTTACAAATTTCTTGTTGGTATTTTAGGTAGATCTACAGATCCTTTGGAACCTCTTTACCCTAAATATGCTGTTGCTCATTTTTTTAAAATGTTGTCCTATTTGTATGCTGGAAAGCCACAAGACACTAGAAAGGTGCCTCACAGGAAGACAAACTTAAAACTAAGGGGTTTGATATAGCAGCTGTCTAAAAATAAAGATGAAATATCTACATTTTCTTACTTATCCTTCTGTGGATTTTGCTGCTGGTTTAGCTGATATATAAGGCCTTTGATGGAGGACTATTGATGAACAGAGTCTTTCTCTAGAGATATATGTAACTATTGTTGCTGCTGCCGAGACAAAAATGGGTACCTAGATTTTGTACTTGATGAAGGGGATTACAGCCTTCTAATTGCTGAAGGTCTCGTGATGTGTAATGCTGATCCATGTATTTATTTGTTAAATTAATATTAAAAATCGTTTTTGGGTCAAAGAGTTCAGTGACGTATGACAGCATACACCTCACATTAGAATGAAGAGGAGGATCAAAATACTTGCTGTTCTCATTCACTTGTGGTTCTGCTTTTAAATGCAACCCACTTCCTACGGAGATCAAGGACACTTCCTGTTCTTGGTTTCATTTAATCTTTCACTTGCTTTTTAGGGGGCCATACTGTCAGTTTCAAACACCATGTGTGTCCTAGGCGCCTTAGGCTTCTTGATCCAGATTGCTAGGCATTGGGCTGGAAAGACAGGTCCTCCCACTTCTGTTTGATATGCAAATATCTGCTTTGTGTTTACTGTTGAAATAAATCTGATATAATGGACAAAATCCTACTGCATAAAGTTAAACTGGTATAAACTGGATCGGGTGCTGGAAGCAATTAGTTTAAATTTTTGATTTAAATCAGTCCAGATCTGAGCAATGGCAAACCAGCAGTGATTTTTTTTCCTGTTAACGTTCTCCTATGCTGAGGCTCCCCAAGGCTTTCCCAGGGCAAAAGAGAGTCCTACAGAGCCTTGAAACCTGACAGCAAGGAATAGGAACCTTCCAATTTATTTGAATTATTTTTGGCACCGGTTCTGGTTCATGTCGGTGTAACTTTATGCAACATGATTTTGCCTGCAAATGTCTTTCACAGACGTCACGCAATTTTAACCATACAGTTCCATGTGCCAATACACATGCTTTTCATTATGGGTCTGAACAGATAACGTTTTTTGATTGGCTGCTTTGTGATTCACCCTCCAGTAGCTTCACTTAAGTTGGTTACTGAAGGCTGTATTTCCTTAAGCGTTTCTTTTCACATCACTACATGTGCCAGTGCACAGTTCATATTTACACTGCACTCATCAGGAAGGGGCAGGGAGTATATGGGGATTGTGTTATGTGCTGTCAAGTTGAACCTGATTTACAGTGACCATAACAGGGCTTTCAAGGTGAGATGTTTAAAGAAATGGTTTTAGCAGTTCCACTCATGAGTCTCCGTGACAGAGCAGGAATGCACTTAGGTCTCCTGAGTCCTAGTAGGGTACGTGGTATATTGGATACATGTCCTCAGAATGAAAGGGGCATGGGAGAGGCATTTTGGTCTATCTGAGGATGCAGTTCTCCACCTGACTGTGGCAGTAACTTATGAAATGAAAAGAGCTACTGCTGCTTTTCAGCAGGATCCTATTCAATTTCCATTTTGACAGGCTGAGTTTGGACGTTGTACTAATGATTGAGTTTGAGGACCAAACTATCATTTGGAAGGGCTCATAATTTCAGACAGCCAGACTTAACTCCTGAAGTGTGAACCAGCTTTGTGCCTTACCAGACTCCAAGGGGCTTTATTATTATTATT